TGATGATTCACACCAGTAATCCTAGCGACTCAGGAGGCAGAGATCAGGAGGATCACAGTTCAAAGCCAGCCGGGGTGGCCAAATAGTTCTTGAGACTCTATTTCAAAAAAACCTTTCACATAAAAGGGCTGGTGGAGTGGCTCAAGGTGTAGGCCCTGAGTTCAAGCCCCAGTGGGGGGATGAGGGGGGTGGGGAGAAGGCTCCTCCAGATGCACATGAGGCTTTAACAAAGCCAAAGTACTTGTGTGCCCTAGTCTTTCCATCTATTTCACCCTAGCATGCCTTCATACAGGCTGATCTATTTCCTCTGTCTGGAATGCCTGTCCTGTCTTGTCTGCTTACATGTCTGTTTCCCCACTAGATTGTGAGTTCACACTTCTCCATCCAAGGACCAAGGCCCTATGCAGGTCTGATCCCTGCTGGCCTCTCTTTACTTTGTCCTACTTCACTCCTCATTCCAAACATACAGGCCTCTCCCACCCTGCCTGACTTGGTCACATCCCCTCCTCCCATACTTCCACAGCACTGGGACTTCCCTCTACAGCGCTGAATCCTGTGCAATTTTACATCCCCATAAATGACTTCATGATGAATGTGAGCCTTTCCCACTGGAACATAAGCTCCCCAGAACAGGGGTTGGGTCTGGTGCTCAGTATATATTTGTTAAGTGAATAAAAGCACATAATTCTTACAGACCTTAGGGGCTGTGTAGTAGAGTTTTAAGAGACAAGCAGGTCTGACTTTAAATCTGAGTCTGCCTCTTACTAGATGACCTTGGGATCAAGTCTTCATTTATAACAAAAACCCAATACCTACTTTGCAGGCATGCACATGTGCTTAGTAGCAGCCCAGTAAATAGTAGCCATTACCCTGGGTCTTCATGGATGTTTACTGAATGAATATTTAATTCATACAACTTTTAGTTTTGGAAGGTGCTTTATGATTAGGAAATTCATTTTTATCATTCTGAAATGATTTTTTACCTTTCTCACTTTTTTTTTTTTTTAAATCTTTTTAAAACAAAGGTCTCAGTCTCACTGTGTAGCTAAGACTGGCCTCAAACTTTTGATCCTCCTGCTTCTGCCTCCTGAATGCTAGGATGACAGGCAACATTCCTCATGTTTTAAAACAAGTTTGAGAACAGCCTGGATAACATAGAAAGCCTCCATTTCAACAAAACAAATGAAAGCCAACTTTTAAGTAATTGTTCGCAGTACCGGAGATTGAACACAAAACCTCACACCCTGGGCATGTGCTCTACCACTGAGACACAGTCCTAGCTAAAACATTTGTTATTTGGGCTGGAGGTGTCCCTAAGTGGTAGAACACTTGCCTAGCATGCCCAAATCCAGGGACTTGACCCCCAACACTGCAAAAATCAATCAATCAATCTGTTGTTTTGTCACTTTGCAGATGGAAAAACTGAGGTTCGAAGAAGAAAAATGACTTTTTTTTTCTTTTTTTTTAGTGACAGGATATGAGGATATGACTGTGTAGCCAGCCTGGACTCAAACTCTTGATCCTCCTGCCTCAGCCCCCCAAGTGTTAGGATTATGCCACTGCACTGACATAAAGTGATTTCTAAGGCTATACAAGAAGTAGTAGAATTAGTAGTAGAATCTGATCCAAGTCAGTGATTAAGCTTATTTATTTATTATTTATTTATTTATGTGGTCCTGCGGCTTGAACTCAGGACTTTTCATTTGCAAAACAGGCACTCTACAACTTGAACCACTACACCAACCTTTTTGTATGTCGAGTATTTTTGAGAAAGGATCTCTGGAACTATTTGCCCAGGCTGGCCTCCCACCATGATCCCCCTGGTCTCAGCCTCCACCAGAGTAGCTAGCATTACAGGTGTGAGCCACTGGCACCTGGACTTGAGGTTATTATTTTTTTTTAAATCAGAGCAAAATGTTATGACTATCAAGTATGATTTTTTTCATTTTTTTTGTTATAGGTTTCCTATAGTCTTCAAGAAGACCTGTTGGTTGATGGGCTAGCATGCAGGAAGTCCTGAGTTCAATCCCCAGCAATGTTAAAAAAAAAAAAGGCAGGTTGGAAGAGGAGAAAGTGCTGTGGGAAGGCCTGCAATCTGAAGATGTGGTTTCTGGTCTTACTCACACTCAGGTTGTTCAAGTGAAAGGCAGGTATAATCAGGAATCATCATGAAATATTGTATTTCTCTCTGTACCATATAAAAATACTATACAAATAGATCTTTATGAAATCATTTTTCTCCTTGGATACAATAAAGTCTTTTTTTTTTATATATGACTGGGATTTGAACTCAGGGCTTTGTGCTTCCCTTGAGCCATACCTCCAGTCCATTTTGCTGTGGTTATTTTTGGACATGGGGTCTCTGGTAGTATTTGCCCGGGCTGGCCTTGAACCGAATCCTCACAATTGAGCTCGGCCTCCCAAGTAGCTAGGATTACAGGTGTGAGCCACCTATAAACTCTTAAAGGGCAGGGATGTTACCATTTTTCTTTGTATCTCCTGTGGCACCTACTGTAGTGGTCTCAACCAGAAGTCTCAGTAAAAGTGTGTTGAGGGTGTAACTCAGCGACAGTGCTCCTGCTTAGCATTGCTAAGGCCTGAAGTTTGATCCCCAGCACCAAAAGAAAAAAGAAAAAGTGTGTTGAAGGAAAGGTTTACTGAGTGAATGAAAGAAGGTCCTTTATTTCCTTTATCCAGCTCCAGCTCCCCCTCTGCCTTGAGGTGGTCAAAGAAGGAATAACTGTCACTCAGACCTGACTTGAGGGCAGCAGAAGGGGTTTGTCTTGGAGGGAAATTGGAGATGCTGCGTTTACATTGGGGATTTGCTTTCAGTTTCCTAGGAGGCTGTGAGCTTCCTGAGTGGGATATAGGAGCCTGTTCTATCCACTTGTGTTTCCAGAGCTCAGCTCTGAGGCTTGGTCCTGGCTTCTAAAGATGCCACAAGAGGACTGGGATGTGGCTTAAATGATAGAGCACCTGCCTAGCAAGCTTGAGGCCCTGAGTTCAAGCCCTAGTACTGCCAAAAAAAAGGCCTAAGGTAGAAGTAGCAGCAGCTCAGGCTGAGACTGGGCTCCTTGGAGCAGAGATGCACAACTTTCCCATGCCCAGACTCCTCCGGAAGACAGATTTATGGGTGGAATAGAATTGGAATGGAATATCCCCCTTGATCTTGAAGGAAAACTTTTTTCCTAGAGGAGGGAAAAAGCAACTTCTCCAGGATAGGAGCATTTTCATGGTACAAAGAACCTGAAAATCGTTATATCATTCATCTAATCAGGAAAATAAATAATCTTGTCAAACCCAGATGTCTTATTATCCATCTTCTTATAGAGTTTTCTCTTCTCTTTCCCCCTAGGCTTTCTTTGCTTCTTGGTAAATTTCTTTTTGTTGTTGTTTTAAAAGGCAACCCTTTTCTAAACTAGAGTAGGAAACAGCTTTCCAAGCTGGGAGGATTTGGCATACTGAGAAGCAGAGGGGCTTGCTAAACTCAATTTTCTTTCTTCTTTTTAAGTCCGCCCCCCTCCCCCCTTCCCCTCCAGAGAGACAACAGAAATAATTGATCCATCATCCAGTACCCGGCCTGGGAGATTTACATGTAAATTCCTAGTCTTAAGACCCCCCTCTCAAATTTAAAATCCTGGGGGGGAGGGGAAGGGCATTTCTAGGCCCGCAGCAACCCTGCAGGTCATCCCTCACCCCTCAACCAGGTGAGAGATGGGGAAGAATAGTTTACCACAACACCGCCCCACACCCCCATCCCCAGCCTCTCCCCGCACCACACGCACCACCCCATTCTGGTGTGGAATCACTTAAGGTTCGGCTAAAACTCCCCTTTCTCCCAGGAGACAGTATCTGGAAGCTTTTAGAAGGCGGAGCAGAAGGGGAGAGAGAGGGAAAATTTCCCCAAATGTTCATCAGGCCTGAGAGTCGTTTCTTCACTCCAAAAGACCCATCACCCCGACCATTAACTTTCGATTAAGGCCTCCTCCTTATGGCAACTAAACTTTACTTTGCATAATGAAGATTTGCCTCGGAAGAAGGAGGAGGTTGAAACAACCGAAGCTCCGGGCCATTCTCCTTCACCTCTCTCCACCCCCGTCCCTACCCTCCAGCGACCGGCCTCTGGGTTCCTGAGTTTTCTCACTTTGAGGTGCCACCGAACACAAAGAACCATAATGGGCTCCTTTGTGCTCGCTATGGGGCAATTACGCCCTGGAGTCCGGGCCCCTTTAAGAGCCTCTTAAAGAGACAGGCTCTCATTTTTCAGAGGGTTACTTAAGGGTATGTGTAGGGGGAGGGGCGAGGCGAACTCCTAGGGGGGTCTGTGTGTAGGGTAAAGTGAAACTTTTGTCGGGGCTTCCTGAGAAGGAGCTGAGAAGAGTATTTGTAAATTGTTTTGTTTTAAAAAGTGTTTTTAAAAAAATTTTTTAGCTTGAAAATTTTTTCTTTCTTGATTTGAAAAATTGGTCTGAAATAGGTGGGGTTCTAACGGGGGTGCGGGGGCAAAGATTTAAAGAGCCCCTACCCCGCAGAGCGCCTGAGCTCCGGGAAGAAGGATGATCCTGACTTGAGCAGCCTGGGTCGGCCGTAGCTCTGGGGAACGTGTCTCCCGATGTCGCCGCGACGACTCCAGAGAAATCCCGAGCTGGGCAAACAGCCCTTAATATAATAATAGCTTGTCTCTTTAAAAAGCAAAAGAGGTGGTGTGTGTGTGGGGGAAAGTTTTGTTGGCATCTGGTTTCTGATCTCATTATATTGTGGTCGACCAATCCAGCCCTCGGGGCTGGTCCTCGGGTTTAAATCTGATTGGCTGAGAGCACATTTTGGGACGGTACTTGGAGCTCGATGGGGCGGTTTCAAGGATCCCTTTTTTGGGGGGCTGAGGAGAGGGCGGGGCCACCAGCGGGGGCCCCCTTGAAACCGACTAATTGGGATCGAAGAGGCCGAGGTGAGGGCTGGTGGAGGCACAAAGGAGTCGCTGGGTGGAGAAGGGAGGGGAGAAGGGGAGCTGAGAGGCTGGAGGAGGAGGAAGAGGAGAGAGGGCAGCGGCGTGCGGAGGCTCTGGTGTGCTCAGTTGGACTGTGGCGAGCTAGAGGGCAGGCGTGCCGCCCCCTCCCCCGCCCGGCCTCCCCAACTCTGCGGCCGCGAGCAAAGTTTGCAAAGAGGCGCGGGAGGTAGCGGCCGCAGCCAGGCGGCAGCCGGGAAGGCGCACGGTCTCTGGGCTGGGGGCGGGGGCGGGGGGGGGGCGCCCAGGAGCTGGGTGGGGGGCGGCGGCCAGCATGCGGCCCCGCAGCGACCTGCCCCGCCTGCTGCTGCCGCTGCTGCTGCTGCCTGCCGCCGGGCCAGCCCAGTTCCACGGGGAGAAGGGCATCTCCATCCCGGACCACGGCTTCTGCCAACCCATCTCCATTCCGCTGTGCACGGACATCGCCTACAACCAGACCATCATGCCCAACCTTCTGGGCCACACGAACCAGGAGGACGCGGGCTTGGAGGTGCACCAGTTCTACCCGCTGGTGAAGGTGCAGTGCTCGCCTGAACTGCGTTTCTTCCTGTGTTCTATGTACGCACCGGTGTGCACGGTGCTGGAGCAGGCCATCCCGCCTTGCCGCTCCATCTGCGAGCGCGCGCGCCAGGGTTGCGAGGCGCTCATGAACAAGTTTGGTTTCCAGTGGCCCGAACGCCTGCGCTGTGAGCACTTCCCGCGCCATGGCGCGGAGCAGATCTGCGTGGGCCAGAACCACTCAGAGGATGGAGCACCGGCGCTGCTCACCACCGCCCCGCCGCCGGGACTGCAGCCTGGTGCTGGTGGCACTCCGGGCGGCCCTGGTGGTGGCGGCGCTCCCCCGCACTACGCCACTCTGGAGCACCCTTTCCATTGCCCGCGCGTCCTCAAGGTGCCTTCCTATCTCAGCTACAAGTTTCTGGGTGAGCGCGATTGTGCGGCGCCCTGCGAACCCGCGCGGCCCGACGGCTCCATGTTCTTCTCGCAGGAGGAGACGCGCTTCGCACGCCTGTGGATCCTCACCTGGTCCGTGCTGTGCTGCGCCTCCACCTTCTTCACTGTCACCACATACTTGGTGGACATGCAACGCTTTCGGTACCCAGAGCGGCCTATCATTTTTCTGTCCGGCTGCTACACCATGGTATCGGTGGCCTACATCGCGGGCTTCGTGCTCCAGGAGCGCGTGGTATGTAACGAGCGCTTCTCCGAGGACGGTTACCGCACCGTGGTGCAGGGCACCAAGAAAGAGGGCTGCACCATCCTCTTCATGATGCTTTACTTCTTCAGCATGGCCAGTTCCATCTGGTGGGTAATCCTGTCCCTCACTTGGTTCCTGGCAGCGGGCATGAAGTGGGGCCACGAGGCCATCGAAGCCAACTCGCAGTATTTTCACCTGGCTGCCTGGGCCGTGCCGGCCGTCAAGACCATCACCATTCTGGCCATGGGCCAGATCGATGGCGACCTGCTGAGCGGCGTGTGCTTCGTGGGCCTCAACAGCCTGGACCCGCTGCGGGGTTTTGTGCTTGCACCGCTCTTCGTGTACCTGTTCATTGGTACATCTTTCCTCCTGGCCGGTTTTGTGTCGCTCTTCCGTATCCGTACCATCATGAAGCACGACGGCACCAAGACAGAGAAGCTGGAGCGGCTCATGGTGCGCATCGGCGTCTTCTCTGTGCTCTACACGGTGCCTGCCACCATCGTCATAGCCTGCTACTTCTACGAGCAGGCCTTCCGCGAGCACTGGGAGCGCTCGTGGGTGAGCCAGCATTGCAAGAGCCTGGCCATCCCGTGCCCGGCGCATTACACGCCGCGCATGTCGCCCGACTTCACCGTCTACATGATCAAATACCTCATGACGCTCATCGTAGGCATCACGTCGGGCTTCTGGATCTGGTCCGGCAAGACGCTGCACTCGTGGAGGAAGTTCTACACGCGTCTCACCAACAGCCGACACGGCGAGACCACCGTGTGAGGGGGGCGCCGGGCGGGTTGTCCCTGTGGTTGGGACTGCATCGAGCTTTCCTTCGTCCGGGTGGGGGCTCCTACGGACTCCTATTTTATTATTATTATTTTTTTTTAAATAAAGAACAATGGAAACCATTTCTAGGTCGCTTTTTAAAGAGAACTCTGCCCAACACCCCCACCAGGTTTGTAATTAAAATTGTAAATAGTCTTTGTAAAATTAATTATATATTTTCTATTTAAAAGAAAAAAAGGGGGAAAACGCAGTTAAGAGCGCCAGGGCTAAAGAATAGGGGCTGGGGTGGGGGAGGTCTCTCTCCTAAGTGCCCTTTTAAAAGCCGCCCTGTACTCTGGTTCAGATTTTTTGGTGATTTGTCAGGGCTAGGCCTGCGGGGAGAGGCACCTAGCCTGTGCGCTGTTTTTGTTGGCTGTGAGGACTTAAAAGTTAGTTCCATTCAATTAATATAAAAGCCAAATTTGCAAGCTGCCTCGCTGACGCTGGGCCTGTGGAAGCTGTTGGATATTTTTGAACAAGACTTGGATTCGTTTCATTTTGTTTTATATCCCTTTCCTCTTTTCTCTCTTCTCATTTGGCCTGTCTCCTTCACTAGATATTTGGAAACCTCCCAACTGAACTGAAGACGTGGAAAAGCATACCCAAGGGTGGTGTGGGGGGGGGAAGAGGGCGGAGAGCGAGAGAGGAATGGCTTCCACCCCCCCACACCCCTCAGCCACCCTCCTACAGGCAGGAAGATCTGTCGGTCTTTGACTTTTCTTCTTTCCAAGCTCCTAGAATGGGCAGAAAACGCTTTGTGAAGTGTGTTTTGACCCCCTCCCCCAACACACACCACCTTGAGTACTGATCATCCCTGCGTGAATTTTTAGGGAGACCATTAACCTTTGAACATGTATTTGCAAATTCCGGGGTTTTGAGATCGTGCTTCTCCCTGTCTTTCCTTACAGTCTGCTCTCCCGCAGCGGAAAACCTCTGGCGTTCAGGTTAGCAGTTTGCCGGTTGGTTTTCGTGTTACGTGTGGGTTTTTGTTTGGTTCCCCCCCTCCCCTGCCCCGCGAAAAGCAATAAAAATGGGTTGGGTTGGAGGGAGAGGACGGATGGACTGGTGGGATTTTTAGTTTTCTTTTGACAAAAGACTAGTTTCTTTTCAAACTTGTCCAGGAAAAAAAAAAGGTGGGTATCTTTAGAAGGCGACTCCTGGCAGGCTCTTTGTGGCTGAGGGGGTGGGGTAGAATGTTTACATGACATTCTATGTCACAAGATTGATAAAATGTTTATAACAGATGCTTCTTATCTTCCCTCTGCCCCCACAAATAAAAGTCAAGACTTTTCTTAAGTTAGCTGCCTGAGAAGTGATGTATACAGTATCTTTGCTTGTATGAGAATTTCAGTTTCCAACACACAATTCCCTCAAAACTATTTGGAATATTTTAGAATTTTAATTCCAAAGGAATGATTTGAACACAAAAGTGCCACGTAACTCAATTTCCACCATGTCCTGTTTCTTGATAATAGTGCAAATTAAAAGCTAATAATCATAATAATAAAGTACATTTAATTATCTTTGAGCGATCTAGCCCTTTAATTGTATTTAACAGGGTTGTAACATTTTATTAGTTTAACCAAACCACACCTCCTCCTTCTCTCCCTCACCTACTTGGTTGGGGATGAGGTGAAGAAGTGGACTCCTGGCCTTGCTTTTTTAGCTAAATGGTTATGGGGAAAACTAGGCTTTATCATCCTTTGTTGGCTGACTTTGGGACAAGGGAGAAAGTAAGTTGGAACCCCTACTTGGGAGTGTTTGTGTGTGTTTATGTTGGGGGAGGGGAGGTGGAAATGTTTGGTGGTAATTGAAGTCATATGTGGGCTTTGTTTGCAGTTATATGAAGCCTGGGCATTTCAGAAGAGCCCCCTCCTGAAATACAGAATCTCTTCCCAAATCATTTGTGCCAGTGGCTTGTAAAAATTCATTCAGAAGTCTCAAAATGAGGTTCCCTCAATGATCAAAGTGCAGGCTGGGGGAGGGGTCACCACCCCCGTAGCTCCAGTAGCTCCATTTGTCTCAAGTCTAAGGGAACCCCACAAGGGGCTGCAAGAAAGAGTTAAATTACACCCAAACTGTGAGCACCAATCCTTGCAATAAAGGTGAAATAAGACCAGGGAACTGGGGGAATCAAGTGGGATTTTCTAGTGCCTGAGACTGAGCCCAGACTCAGGTGCTGTTCTCTGTTGAAGATTTGGGGAGAGCGTCTCTCCCACCTCCTCCAGAGTCTTAGAGCTGTGTGCTTTGGGGGTACTCTCACACTAATGGCGTGAAGAGATTGTGAACTGGTGACAATTACCTTTTCCTTGGGAGGGTGGGCAGGCAGGGGCAAGAGAGGGAATTTTGCTAAAGATGATTCTTCTTCCCAACCCTTCCCCCCACCTCAAAGTCTCCTGCCAACATAGGGGAACAGGGCCTGTGAAAATGGTTTTATGAGTGGGAAGAGAAGAGATAATAAGATAATTGCTTCTTTTGGAAACATATCTTAGAGATGCCTTCTTCTTCTTTAAGGATGTGACCAAGGTCTGAATCACCTCACAGAAAGCAGTGGGGGAGCCGGTTCCATACCACACTCCCTTTTTCTTTTGTTTTGGAGGTACTGGGGCTTGAACTCAGGGCCTTTCACTTACTTGCTAGGCAGGCATTCTACTGTTTGAGTCACACAAGCTCCAAGCTGATCCAGGCGTCCTGGTTTCCACTTCATTGTGTGGAAAACCCAGGGCTTGGTGATCTGCTGAAAATTTCAAGGTCACCTTGAAGGCAGGAACTAGTTTCCACATGGTAAGTAGGTTGGTCCCTTCCTCTGAAAGAGGGAGGCTTTGGTGTTTGGTGGAAAGCAAGAGCCAAGAAGAAAATCTCACCTGAGGCCCCAGGTCCAGGGCAGGCCAGAGGTGCTTTCTTCCCGTTTTCCCACCTCACCCCCATCCCTTGAGGTTGCTCCACTGTGGCTGCTTCTGGTTCACTGTTGGCTGTCTAGGTCTTTCTTCAGAAACTCCCTATTTATTGATCAGACTCTTGATTCCCCCTACACACACAAACTCCACTCTTCCCTCCTGAAAACACATTGTTACCAATGCCTTGTCCTTCAAGAGGATCATTTAAAGAGCCCACCTTAGAAAAGGCCACTAAAATTTTCCAAGACAAGTTCTTCTGTATAGCCCCAAAGAATATTAGATTTGGCTTAGTGGGACCTGGAGCTGCCGGGTTATTAAACAACAACAACAAAACAACTCTCCAAGAGTGTGTTGCTCCCTGCTCCCCCTCACCCCCAATCTGGGTCCTGTGGGGAACACATCTGGGAGCTCACTATGCTCCTACCACTTCAGAACCAAACTGTCCCTTCTGCAGTCTTGCTGCTCACACCCTCTGTACCTCTAAACTTCAAATTCTTGGGGGGCCACTGACCCTCTGAGAATCCAAAAAAAAATCTTTGGACCTCTTGGGAAAAAAAAAATCTCCAGACACAGTACATATAGTTTTGCATGTAAATTTCAGAGATTTCTAGACCATCTGGCTGTGCCTTCTCCCTACCACCATCCCACTCCCAAGCTAGTCCCCCAGTCTCAATCAAGAAAGGGGGCTGGCAGAGCAGCTCAAGTGGTAGAATGCCTGTCTAGCAAGTGTAAGGCCCTGAGTTCAAACCCCAGTGCCACCAAAAAAAAAAAAAAAAAAAAAAAGAAAGAAAGAAAACAATTGGACCAACAAGACCAGGAGTACCCCCAAACCAGATGACTCCCTTGATGGGGTTCTGCCTCTCCTCAGGTAACAAGCTATCAAGATGCAGCAGGGCCAAGAAATGTGCAATACATTACACCTAGGGGAAAAAGAGAAAAAGCCAGAGCCTGGTGCCTGGTTGGTGGCTCACTCCTGTAATCCTAGCTACTCAGGAGGCAGAGATCTGGAGGATTTCAATTTGAAGCCAGTCCAGGCATATGGTTCAAGAGACCCTATCTCTAAAATACCCATCATAAAAAAGGGCTGGTAGAGTGGCTCAAGGTGTAGGCCCTGAGTTCAAACCCCAGTACCTCAACAAAAGAAGAAAAAAGAGCCAGACAGACGGACCATGTGTGGAGAGGGGCCTGGGCATGAAGCAGGACCAGATGTAAACACTTGTGCAAGTTTTCTAACCTCTGAGCCTGGTGTGTCCTGGGCAAAGAGGCCATGGTGCCTGTTAGGCAAGACTGTCACCATTAGATCTGCAGTGTGCACACCGAGCCAGCACATAGTAGACATCCAATATGTTATAGCCCTTTTACAATCGTTTAGGACAAATTCCTCAAAGTAGAATTACTGAATCAAAGTGTGCATGTTTCTTGAGGGCTTTGTAAACCCGTTGTTACTGGTAGTTTTCATGGAATAGAATGATTTCCTTCCTCCTAGCTTTTCTCTCTGAGTCTGAGTGCCAACCCAGTGTCCAGAGGCTTGTCCGGGTGGTGGTGGACAACGGTTTGTCTCTCTCTCTCTCTCTCTCTCTGATTAGGACAGAAATGTCTTATTCGCCTGAGTGAGCAGGGCACACACGCGGGTCGGGCCTCTCCAGCTGCTTTGAAGCCAGCTAATTAGGGCTAGGGCTGTCACAGTTGGCTTCCCCTGCGCCTCCCCCTCCCCCTCCTGCACCTCCTGCCCCATTGCAGCCTCACCGCCTGAGAGCCCTCTCCAGCTCTTCTGAGCCATGTGTAAAGGCCCTAGGATTTGATTGTGGAATGGCTGAGGCAAATGCAACAAGATAGACAAGATGGAACCTAGGACAAGGGAACAAGCTCCTAGACTATTGGGTTTACAGTTGACTGCCAGTGGCCCAGGATGTCGTCTCCTTGTTCCCAATGAGGCCTACAGAGGAGCCGGGCTGGGCTGGGGGCTGAGCCCTGGGCCCTTTGTTTGGAAGCCAAAGCTTTCTGAAGGCTCCAGCCTCCATCGTGGCCCTTATAATTAGCCCCAATCAGAGTGTTTATGTCGGGGCCTAGTGCGGAACTCAGAGCCCCATGATTTCGTTCCAAACCTAGGGGGATGAGGGGAGGGAAAGAGGAGTTGTGTGGGGACAAACAAAAAGGAGGGTGGGGGTAGAAAGT